GGTTCTGGGATCGTGACCCGAGCCGAAGGCAGACGCTTCACCGACTGAGCCACCCAGGCGCCCCGAACCAGATTTTTTTAAATAAAGATTCATGATTTAGAGAACTATTTTTGTTGTGTTGATGATTGTGCGCTGAATGTCAGCTTTGGAGCTGGGGAACTGACCCCACATCCACCTGCCACTGGACGAGTAATTCATTGATTTCATCCCACGGTGTTTTAGTGACAGAGGTTGGTTTTATTGTATTAAAGGAAGTGGACAGACGCCTCAGAGTCAGGAACCGGGAGCAGAGGAGCTGGGTCTGCGTGGCTGCGGCAAGGCCGTTTTCCCAGCCTCGGCAGGTTGCCCGGAGCGGCTTCCCTGTGCTTCCCCCCAGCACCGCACTCACGCTTCCCAAGCACAGCAGTGACCTGCTGCGTGCACACCCGATGGACACAAATGAGCAGAGGAGGGTGGCTCTCTGGGGCCAGTATGGAGGCCAGAAGGGCCCCTTGTGGGCATCCTCAAGGCTGAGCCCTCATAACCCCAAACCCAGTTGCTCATGTCCCAGGGGCAGCTCCCAAGGGCCCCTCCCTCCCAGCCCAGCCCCCTGCAGGTCCAGCCTCCTGTCTATCCAGTCACTGCCCCTCCGCATGGCCAGATGTCTCTGCACAAGGAGCCATGAGTGAGGTCAAAGCTCAAGAGCCACACGAGGAAGAACCAACTCCTCCAGAGCTCTCGCCTGAGAGCCTGCGTTCCAAGCTTGAAAACGTGGAGACAGGAGGGAAGGGAGAAGGAACAGGGGACTCTCGGGGTCAGCAGCCAAGGGCTCTGGTCCCCACCCTGCCCCTAGCAAGCTTTGTGACCTTGGGCAAGTCACTTCCCTCTCTCTGCGCCTCAGTTCTCACTCACCTCTGAACCAAAGAGGTGGGCGTGATGCCCATGAAGGGCTCTCCTAGGACGAGCCTTCTCCTGCCCACAAGCTGGGGCCTCCTGGTGGCAGCAGGTGGCCAGTGAGGAAGTGCCGGGCCGGGCCGGGGGGGGGGGGGGGCGACCCTGACGGAGACACACAGGTGGGAGCTCAGACACTTCCAAGCCCAGGGCCAGCCCGGGAGGGGTGGGGTGAATAGCACTACTGACATTTCAAGAGCCCACTGGTGTCCTGAGGCCTGCCTGGGGTCAGTCTTCCTCCCCTGTCCCAGACCAGCTATGACGGGTCCCTTAGGCAAGCCATCTCCTCTAACCCGGTCTCCTCACGTGTGAACACTTACTGATGGTCTTACCTTCTCTAAGGCCTGCTTCTCAGCGGGACAGAGAACCCTGAACGGTTTTCAGCCCACCTGGATGAGAGGGGCAGGCCTCATGCCACGGCTTCTCCCACGGGCTGCCTCGGCGAGGGCCCGAGGCTGCCTTCTAGATCAGCAAGCATGGCAGGTCTGTGTGGCCCACAGGTACCGGGCCTCCCAAAGGGGGCTGACGCTTTCCTCTCCACAGCACCTGCCTTCAGTTCCTGCTGACGGGTGTCCCTCTGACTGTGGACAGGGTCTCAGTGACAACTTCGGTGGACAGGTCGCTCCCCTCCGGCTCGGTAAGGTTAAGTGTCAGCGGTGGTCAGAACTTGTCCGGAGGGGCCCTGCCTTGGAGGAAATGGAGAGAGGGGGACATACACGTGTCTGGAGTAGTGGGTGAGCTACTGGTAGGCTGGATCTCTCCCCCTCCCATATCCTGCAAAGCCCAGCCCAGCTGCGTCCCCCTCTCCACCCCAGCCCTGCGACACCAGATCTTCCTTTCAGGGCGTTGCGGGAGGACGTGGTCACCCACCTGTCCCAGGGCCGAGAAGCAGGAGTTCTCGACCCCCCGGCCCCAGGGCCTAGGCCCATCCAAGGCTGGGCCACTCTAACGCATGCTCCAAGTCAGGCCCACGTTGCCCCTCTCCCGGGCTGTTGGCCGACACCTACTAACTACCCCAGTTTCACAGCTGGTCCCTTCCTCCCTGGCTGCCAGCAACACAGCACCCGTGTGCACCTTCCTTCATACAGGTGCCCTGCCCCCTAATGCCCTCGATGGCACCCTCCCCCTTGCCCCCTGCAAAGCTCCTCTGTAGCCTTGCAGGTGGGCTGTGGGAGAATCCTGAACCACCCCCTTAACCATCTGGCCACAGGGCTGTTCCCCTCCCTCCAGCCTCACCTCTGCCCAGGCTGAAGCCCCCTCCCCTGTCGCAAATCCTATTATCCTTCACAGTTCCTCTTGACCCGCCAGGCTGAGTCCTCCCTAGCACCTTTGAGAAAGGACTGGTAAAATTCTGCTTGTTAGACCAAACCAGGCAGCCTCAGGGGCAAGGACTGGGGTCTGCACAGCGCCCGGCCCAGAGTTAAATGCAAGTTAGCTCCTTCCCCTGACAGCCCCTGACACATGGTTTGGGAACCAGCACCCTCTCCTCCCACGTCCAAGGCTCACAGCGGCCCCAGCTCCCCCCTTAGAGCTTAGGTAAACTAAGAAAACTACTCTTTGTGACAACTCCTGTTTGAGCAGCTTTTCCATTTGTCCTACAGTGACTGATTTCACCCTCGTGACAACCTCTGGGGGGTTGCTTATAGTCTCCACTTTACTGATGGGAAAGCTGAGCCCAAAAGCAAGGAGGAGCACCTCACCTGAGGCCCACAGGTGGGCAGGGGTGGGGGCCTGAGACTGGGTTTTCTGACCTCAGAGCCTGCTCAGACCAAAGGTCTAGGTCGAGAGACCTGGGCTGGGCCTCCATGTGGCCCAGAATAAAGAACGGGTGAATGAGGCAGGGCCTCTTCCGGAAGCCAAAGCTTACCAAAGAGAAGGGCCCCAGCCTTCCATGAGGTGAGGTGGGGGGGAACTCAGACAACTCCGCAAGAGCGGGTGACAAGGGGCTTCTGTGGCTCAGACAGCTGAGTGGTCAAGTGGGAGGGACCTGTTGTTGTCTGGGTTTAGGGCCATGCAGCCCAACCCCCACCCTGCAGGGTCCCTACCTGACCCACCGTGAGCCTGTGATGCGTGAAGGGACCAGGAACACCTGTGGTCCAGAACAAGGCCGGATGGGGGGACATCCCTGCATCGGGGTGGCCCTGGGAGGTTTCCAAGGCACCAGCCAGCCAGGCCAGCGACGGGCCTACAGGGGGTCTGGGAGAAGTTCTCAGAGGAACATGCACTTTGACTTTCAAGGAGCTCGTGGGGGTCGTAGGGGCCCAGCGTCTGCCCCCAACATTCTCACCGCGCACCCCCCACCCCCTAGGATGGGCAGGACTGGGAGGCAGTAGCGAGAGACGGGGCCTGGGGTCCTGGGGTGGCAGGGAGAGACAGGGGTGGTAAGGGCCGGCGGGGACACTGGCGATGGAAGGCGGGGCTGAGGGCGCCGGGGAGGGGGCAGTGCAGGAGCGCGGAAAGGAGTGAGGCTGGACAGTGAGGAGCAGGGATGGGAGGGAAGAAGGGCAGACCAGGGGACAGAGGGGAAGTGGGGACGGGCCAAAGGAAGCAGAATTTCTCCACTGAGAGCAGAAGGCCTGAGAGAGACAGCCCTGACTCGAGTGATTCCCCCAAGTTGCCCCCCACCCCTGGAGCCGAGCTCTGAGCTCAGCAGAAAAGGCAGATAAGCCAAGTGCTTAAATGGGAAGGCTCCAGGCCAGAGCCTGGGAAGGCCAAGCAGGGCCGGGCGGGCGGCAGAGTCCAGTGGGCCTGCCCCCAGGCCCCCCCCCGGCCCCCGGAACAGACCAGCCGTGTGCGTGCGCGTGTGTGTTGGGGTAGGGAGTGCTGCCCCCCAGCTCTAGCCTCCCATGGCCCATCTCTGCATGCTGGCCCCATGACCAAGTCAGCATTCTGTGACCTCCCGTCACAGTGCTGCTGTGGGTGCACGGAGGTGAGGGAGACGGGGACCTCGTGACCTACGACGGGGGCGTGCGCATCACCTACCTAGGTCAGCCCAGAGACAGGGTGATCGGCGGCCAGCGGCCCTGATGTCCTGGGCCTCCCCAGCAGACCCTTTGGGTTCATGGCTTTCCTTTTCGCCCTGATTCAGCAGTTTCTGAGACAGCCAGCTCAGCACTGCTACTCCCCAAGCAGGTAAGAGGCGGGGCTTGGGGGCTCTTCCTAGCCTCCCTGAGTTTGTCCAGCAAATGAAGAAAATGAGCCCCGGAGGAGAAGAACCTGAAAAGCCGGAGGAAGCACCCACACCCTCTGGGAACCCAGGGGGGCCAGGCTGTGCCCCCCTCCCCAGGATGAGGAAGCTGGCCTCCTCACGGGAATCCCAGCCCTGGCAACCCAAGTTGACCCGTCAATTCTGAGCACCTGCCGAAGACCAGGAACGTGAACAGGCTAACACAGGCCTCCTCATGGGACCCAAATCCAGACCCTGGCCTGGAGCCAGCCTGTCGGGGCCCTCCCCACCCCCCCCCCCCCCCCCCCCATGCCCGCTTTCTCCTAACCCCTATCACGGACCCTCTGCCTAGGAGGAGAGTCTTCTTAGGTCTAACGAGTCCCTCCTGCCGCAGGAAGCAGCTCCACTGGATGCCACGTTCTTGAACACTTGCCCATACCCCCCAGACCTTATAACCGCGCACTGGCGGCTCCGGGTTCAGGGCCCCGCCCCCGCCCGCAGCCACTCAGATGAGCTCACTGGCTTAAAGCCCCGCAGCAGCCAGCGGGCCCCCAAGCACCTGCCGCCCGCCCCAGCGCCCTCCTGGAGCCTGCAGGCGCTCTCCCCTGCCCGAGGTCTCAGCGCGTCATTCTGCCCTACACACACGGGGGATGTCCAGGCAATCAAGGAGGCCCTCAGGAAGAAGGAGTCCTGAGGAGGAGCCCAGCGCGGTCTGGGGTCCGGGAGAGCGCAGGGCGGGCACGAAGTAGTGGCGGAGGCGAGGTCTGCACCAAACGTGGGTCCAGGGCGCCCCCTAGTGGCTCCCCCGCGCACCCAATCCAGAAGCTTGCTGGGGGGTCCTCGCCTCCCTCCTCCTCCACACCCTAGAGACTGACAGCTTCGGAGAGCAAATTATGAACAGGCATTTTGCTTACATTGCTTTATTCAATCTCTCCCCAGCCGCGTCCAATCCCCTATTTTGAGGATCAGAAACGCTAGGCTCCCAGGGACGGAAGCACACTCCAAAACCTATGCTCATTTTCTCCATCTCCCCGGGGGGGGGGGGGCCCAAGGCGGCTGCCAGCAGAATGGGGAGTTCCGGCCCCGAGGGCCCACGGGTGGCCGGGAGGGTGGCGTGGGGGACAAGGTGGGCGTGGGGGCCCCTGTGCTCAGATACCACCGCCGTGACAGAGCCCCCACCCCACAGCTCCAACAGCATTTTACTGGGGTCTGAGACTACAGTTCCCACAGGAAGGTGCGGCCACGTGAGAAGCAGGGGTAAAAAGGGGGCTTCACCACCCCCTCCCCGGGGGATGGCTGCTTCAAGTCTAACAAAACCCCAGGGAAAGCCCTCGTGCTGGGCCTCCAGCCAGCAAGGCCAGTCCCGTCCCAGGGGGCACAGGCCAGCGCGTGGAGCCAAGGGGCCCACAGTGGGGCGGCATGCGCGCGAGGATGAAAGCCGAGGCTGCAGAGTCAGGATTCCGCCCCCCTTCCCACCAGAGCCCGCACTGGCACATGTTTGCATAGACAGCAAGACAGATGCAGCCAAGGCCTTTTCCCAGCAGACGGGGCATCGGGGTGGCACTGCGTGATTCTGCTTCCCTTTGGAGCCAGAGGAGAGTCCCGTGGTCCCCGGGGCCAGGGGATGCCAGGCCTCAGCCCCTCCCCGGGCCCCGCCAGTGTCTGTCCTTCTTCCCTGACCTGTGGGGAGACACAGGGTGGGGGCAGGAAGAGGTCTTCAGGGGACGATGCCACGCGGTGAGAAGGGGCTCCTGGAGGGGAGGGGACCCTGTTCCTCCAAAGGCAGCCAACACAGGGACCAGGCCGCGACCCCAGGATGAAGTCCCCAGTCAGGGCGGCAGGAAGGCGAAGCAACCCCCCTAGCCCCGGGCGCCTGGGTCTGAGCGGGACAGAGCAGCTCATGGGAAACCTCCCTCCCGCCCCCCCCCGCCCGGCCCCTCCGCCGGGTCCGGCCAAGAGGGGCCGCCCAGACCACTACAGAGTGAGCTCCTGGAAGACAGGCTCCGAGGGTAGCCGGGTGCGGATTAAAAGTGGCTCCAACGAAGACCCCTCCTTACGGCCCCTGCTCCTCCAGATACGCCCCCCTCCACTGGCCCCGGCCCCCACCTCTTCTTTGGTGCCTTGTCTCCAAAGAAGTGGCTGAAGATGAAACTCTCCAAGTCATCCACCTCATCATCATCACCGGTCTGTCGCACGGCCACCTCTTCCAGGCTGTCCTCCAAGGCATCCACGAAGTCCCGGAAGCGGAGGCGATCGTGGCGGAAGAAGCCGTCCTCGCTGAAGTAAGCAGGCGAGAGGGGCAGCTCCTTGGACAGCTGCCCGGCCCAGGGCAGCCGCGCCAGGTAAGCCCTCAGCAGAGAGGCCAGCTCCTGCCGCCGCACCGGGGCCAGCTCCACGCCGAAGTCCAGGCCCTCCTGCCGGGCACACTCGCGCACGCCCGAGCAGCCCTGGGGCGCCCGGTACTTGTGCCTCGACAGCGCTGCCCACAGTGGCAGGGGGTCAGGCCCGGCTTTAGCCCCCTCCCTGCCCCGAGGGTGCTTCTGCCTCTCCACGGAGGACTGCGGGCCCCCCCTCTTCCGAGGGGGCTCCTTGGGGCCCTGGCGCTTGCCCTCCTTCCCCTTCCGAGCCAGCTCCCTGTCCCCCTCACCCCGCCAGCCTTTCTTTCTTTCGTGGCCAGACCCCTCCTTCCTGCGCTTCCGGGGCTCAGCGTTCCGGTCCCCCTGCCCATCCTGCCACTTCTCCCTCCCACCCCCTTCCCTAGAACTCTGGAAGTGGGCCTCTGAGTCATTGGCACGGACCCCAGGATGCTCGCCCCAGTTCTGCAGGCCCTGGAACTTCTGGGCCAGTCTGTGGCCCAGCTCGGTCAGGCCAGCAGGCGCCGGGTCCCCACGGCCCGCGCCCCTTAGGCTCTGCTCCAGGTCCTGCTGCATGGACCCCAGCAGCTGCCGCGGCCTCTCTGGCTCCCGCCTTAAGGCCTCAGCCTCAGCCTCCAGCCGCTCCTTCTGCTCCAGGAAGCCAGCGTCTGGCTTCTGCTCCCTGGGACCCGGCTGCTCCGTGACCCTGCCACCCTGGGAGCCCCAGCTGAAGCACACCCCGTCCGGGCCCCGGACGCAGTCGGCCTCCAGCCCCTGCAGCCGGGCCCGCAGCTGCTGCAGCTCCAACTCCAGGGCGCGCTGCGAGGACTGGCCCTGCCGCAGGGCCCCGCGCAGCCGGGCGTTCTCCTCTTCCAGTTCTCTGGGCCGCTGCATCAGGCCCTGAAGCTCTTCCTTCTGGGCCTGGGGTGGGGGGTGCCACAGGAGGGCCCTGTCAGGGCCGGCCCAGGGCCTCCCACCCCATGAGCGTCCACCCCATTCCCACGCAGAGAATTTGGTTCTCCTTTTCTTTGCCACCCACGACCTGCACCCGAGCCTGCGACCTCAAATTCCCTCACAGACCACGTCCTTCTGTAGGCACGCGCTGCGATTCGCCTGAGATTAGCCGAATGTGGCTCCTGCTGTCCTTTCCACCTCCCACACCCAGCACAGACGTTACTGACTGACCCCCACACTGCCTTCCCTTTCGTGCTTCCACGGCTCCAGGCAAAGCAGAGCCATCAACTGGGGGCCCAGCGGGCAACAGGCATGCCGGCCTGGGCCTCGGCAGGAGGACTGTGAATACACTCTCCAGGGGACGAGAGAGGGCTGAGGTGGGGGGTAGCAAAGACAGCTTCTTCTGGGGGAAGACAGGAGGGCAGCACCCGGCTGAGGGAGGGCCCGCCTGGCGCCTGCCCCGCGCATGCGCACCTGCAGCTGGGCCTGCAGCAGCCGGATGTCCTGGTTCTCCTTGGCCAGCAGCAGGGCCATGCTCTGCAGGCTGGGGACGCTGTCAGAGGGCCGTGGGACCCCATCCTGAGGGCAAAGGAGCCAGTGACCCCTCCGGCCCCACGGCCCAGGCAGCCCTGGACGGCCCCAGCCGGCTCCGCACAGCTCCGGGCACAGGGAGCATACCTGCCCGTCCCCCGCAGCATCACGCACCTCCGTGTCCAACCCCGTGTCCGGGAAGACCTGCAGTTCTACTTCCTCCACGGGCCCTGCAGGAAAGCCAAGTCCCCAAACGGCCCCAGCACACACCAGACCCCTCTCCCACCCACTCCCTCCCCTACACACACACGGCCACTCTCCTGCCCCGGACCCAGGCCCCACGGCTGAGAGGACTGGCAGGGAAGGGGCCCAGGGTCAGCATGAACAGCCAAAAGGCCAGTCACTAGTCAGAGATGGCCAGCCCCAGAGAACCGGCCCCGGCAGCCTCCCCCAGGGCTCGGCCAGGACAAGCCAGGCCCCGTCCCCACTCACCCCTGTCCGACTCTGACAGACCACCTGCAGATGGAGACGGAGGAGCGTGGTGAGGCCCACAGAGGACGGGGTGGGGAGCAGGCTGCGGCGTGGCGGGAGGGCCAGAGGCGGACACAGGCCCCAGCAGGGGAGGGGCGACTCACCGGAGAAGAGGAGGATCCCCAGGCCCAGCAGAACCAGGGCCCCAAGGACGCACACGTTGAGGGAGATGCCCAGCTCGCAGCCCGCACCCTCGCCTCTGGCCTGGTCCCCCGTGCCTAGGGGCCCCACGGGCTGAGGAGCGCTGGGCTGCCGGCCCCGCCGTCTCCGCAGACCCTCCACGTCCACATCGGTGTCGTCCTCGCTGCTAGAGCAGTGGGCCTCCTCCCTGGGCCAAGCTGGAGGAAGGAATGGCAGTGAGGCCACCGGACAGCAGGACGCAGTCAGAGACCGCAGACAGGGGCGCGCAGGGACCCTGGCCGCATCCACCCGGGCAGCGATGACTGCCCCGCCCAGCCGAGGGGGGCACCAGTCTTCCAAGTCGCAAACTCAAGGAGCAGCTCTACCCTAACTCAGCCCCCTTCCTCCCACGCGTGCTTCACCTCAAGCCCCCCGTGCAGCTCCTATCTGCCTGGCCACCGCCTCTCGGGCCTCCTGGCTCTTCCTGGCCTAAAGGGAGGGTGCTTGGGGGACTGTCCGCCTCACTGCACTGTCGTCCCCACCGGCGACTTCGCTCCACGACAGGCGAGCCCCCGGTCTCTGGCTCCTGACCCGGACGACTGGCCATGGGCCAGCCACTCCCGCCTGCCGTCACCCGGGGACCAAGCTCTCAGCATGCTGCCCTCCACGCTGGTTCTCCTCCAGGCCCACCCCCCATTCCGAGAAAGGTACCACTGCTACCCTCGGGCTGCCTAAGCCCCCCCGTTTGCCTCACACCCAGACAACTTGGCATCACATACCCCGGATCTGCCTGCCTGGTGGTCTTCAGCACTCACCCCCTCCATGGCCCCAACCTCTCCCTCTACCTGTCACCGCTCAGAGATGGGAGTCATATGCTGCTCGGCCACAAGCCCTGGACACCACCTCTTTAGCACAGGACGGGCGGACCCGTCCCTCTGCAGATGCGACAGCCTCGGCCTGGAGCATGCTCTTCCTCCGACCCTACTGACCCAGAGCCTCCTGTCTCTCAGGGCTGCACTCAACAAGCCCTCCAGTGTGAACCTTCCCCCAAGCGTGCCCGCCCCCCTCACCCTTCCCTCAGCCTGGCCCCTGACGGGGCCCGTCCCCCTCTGAGTCTCCTGGGCCCAGAGCGGACACATGTCGGAGGCTCAGGGGATGAGAGCTGAATCGAGACGCGAGAGAAGAAGCCCCGTGGCAGAGGGGAAGAGTCCGGCAGACCCGGGCCCTGCCACTTACCAGCTACGTGACCTTGGTCACATCAAGTAGCCTCTCTGAGCCCCGGTGTCCTCGGGGGCAGTGGTGAGGATTCACTGACACAGCGTAAAGAGACCCCTAAGCCACTAAGTGCTAGGGCCCGGACCCCAGCCATGCTCGGCCGCGAGCACTTGGTCCCCCACTCCTTCCAGAAGGAGAGTAACGAGGGGCACATCTCACCTGCGCTGGGCAACGAAGGCAGGCTCCCCGGGGGGCTCTGACCCTCCGCATCCTCTGTGTCCGGTCCCAGGCCTGCTGCCGCAGGGGCCTCGTCCGAGTCTCCCTGGACCAGCGTGTCTCCTGGGCCAGGGGGGCCCCCAGCACAGCCATCGCCTTCCAGGTCCCCCTGAGCAGACACGGCCGTGAGCACTCCGGGCCCCTGCCCGCTGCCCCCCCCCCCCCCGGTCCACTGAGAGGCCCTCACCTCCGCCTCAGTCTTCTCTGACAGAAGGGGCCCACACTGGGAGCTTTCGCTCGGGCAGACGGTCTCTGTGGTGGAAGAAAAGGCCCAGGAGGAACACCACTGCCCCGTGGTGCCCCAGACGAACTTCCTACACAGCCCTCCGGCTGCTGCAGGCCCGGCCGGGTTGGAAGGGCGGAAAAGCACCAGGACGAGACGAGGCAGGAAGGCTTTAGACCAGGACGAACCCAGGAAAGAAGAACCGAACCCCCTGTCTCGGAGGAAACGGGGGCCCCGCCCCCAGGGGAGCCCTGTTACCTCCTCCAGCCTCAGCCCCAGCTAACTCTTCCAAAGCTGCCTTGGAGGGGCTCCCGAGGGCCTGGGGGGCTCGCTCCGATGCTGTGTCCACCGTGGATTCCTGGCCCAGGGTCTCCACGGGCAGGCTCTGAGGGAAGGGGTGCAGGCAGAAGGCCGCTGCAGAGGACAAATCCGGGAGCACGGGGGGCTCTGCTGGGGTCCCTGGGCCCCGCCGCACCGCTCAGCGACCCCCACCCACATCTCACACTCAGTCACGAGCCGAGGCAAGGTGCGCGGCAGGGGTCGGCTGGACGTGGGCTTGGGCCGTTCCCTAATCTCACCTGCTGCTGTGAGGAACCTTCCAGAGGCTATTTCTGTTCAGTTAAAAAGTGCCACTGGACCAAGACACCAGATCACACAGACCTGGTGCCCCCCGCCCCACCCTCCCAAAGCAGCCGGCTGAAGCCTGGGTCTCCCCGCCTCCCCACAAATGAAGCCTGGCAACTGGCTGGAAGGTGGAGGCAAGCCCCCTGGGGGCTAAGGGGCCCCATCGGCTTCCCTGTAGCTGTCCACGCCACAGGCCGCCCACGTCACCTGCGCCTCCCAGGCCCTTCCAGCCCCTGCCCTGCCCCGCACACCCCACGCCCCACCGCTGCCCAGAGGACACAACTCACCCCAGCCCCACCTGGGCCGGGGCGGGGAGCTCCCTGCAGTGCTAACACAGCAAGTCGCCAGGGCTGGGTCCCTTGACGACCCCGTTCTCCCTTCTCAGTGGCTCTGGGGACACGGGAGCCCACTGGCTTCCTGCCCTGCCAACCACCAGCTGCACTGCAGGACCCTCAAAATGCTCCCCTGCTCACCCCACCCCCACGGCAGCAGCCCCTCTGCCCAGGGCAACGGACTGTCCTGAGTCCCTCTGACCCAAAGCCCTTCAGTGACCCCCCCTCAGGAAGACGCCTGGGTGCCTGGGTCTTCGGGGATTCCCAGGCTCTGCCTCCCACTTCATTCCAGCACAGTCTAGCCACGTCTCCACCTCATCCCGTGGACTGCCTCAGTCTCCCCCAAAATGGCTTTCCTGTTGTTGCCCCAGACCCTCTCCTCACGCCGGTCCCCTACTTCTCGCAGCTGACCCCATGGTACCCTTCTTTCAAGGCCCGGTCCAAGTCCCGCCACCTGATTCCTGGGGCCCGATCTCCCTCCTCCTGCCCCTGAGTGTTCCCCTGGCAGCCAGCAGGAGGTGACACAGGTGACCGTGGGCACCAAGGAAGGGCACAGACCCAGGGAGCAGCCCAGGCCTGCCAGAACCTCTCTTCCGTGGGGTTCCCAGGCCTGCTCTCCCTACCTCCGAGCCGGCAAGCACCCAGCTGTTGTCAGAGTCTGGGCAGGAAGCCATAGTTGCTGAGGTCTGTGAAGCCACTGTCCCCGCCGCCTGCAGAGAAAAGCGCTCTTCAGGACCCCAGTTCCCTTCCGCAAAGGCAGGATGCAGAGAGGAGCCTTGGCTGGGTCCCAGGGCTGGGCAGCAGCTTCCAGAACCAACCCTTCTAACCCTAACACCTCCACTGTTCTGGGCAGTACCAGCCTCGCAAATCAAAACCTGTCAACAAACACAGAGAAATTCACCTCTCCCGGGGACCAGCGAGGCCTTGGAAGACTGGACTGATCCTGAAAGGTCAAAGCACAGGGCTGGAAAGGCTACGGGGGCCAACCAGGCCAGCCCCCTCAGGCTAGAGTCAGGGAAGATGAAGGCCATACGGGATGGCTAACTTGACTTTGCCAGGGACAAGCAGCTGATGAGAGGAGTGAGGAAAATAACCACCCCAGACTTTCCCACCATCACCACCACCTCCCCCACCAGGGCTCAGAAGACAGGACTCCCACCCAGCATCAGCCCTTCACACGGTCTGGTTCAGGGATCCCCAGCTCCGGCTGCTCACTGGAATCACCTAAGAATCTGATTTAACTGCTCTCAGGGTCAGGCTCAGGCCTGGGTCTTTTTAAAAACTTCCCAGACGGTCCTCATGTGCAGCCAGGCCTGAGAAGAGTTGGCAGATCCATTCGCAGGTACCCTTAGTTAAGTCTCCTCGTCACGCCGATTCTCCTTTCTGGATTCGGTTTCCTTGCTCTGTGATCTGCAGAGTTCCATCTTAGGGAACTTGAAGGCTACGGGGAAGGGCTCTCATGACAGCTCAGAGTTACAAAGACTACAGTTTGCAAAGCACTGCAGGGCTGTGGGCCTGCCCCTCGCTAATCTACTCTGACTTGGCAGGACTGGGGTGGGAAGTCCTCCAGCTTCCAAAGCCTGATACAAAGCAGGCTAAGAGGAGGGAGACCTATCCTGTCACTCAGGCCCAGGACTGTCCCCTCAGGCTGGGCAGCTGCAACTGGGGCCTGGCACAAGGCAGGAGGGGCAGACGAGCTGACCCCCCAAGTCTTGGACTGTGGTCCTTCAGATGGTAAGTGACTGTTTCCTGAGGGGCCAAAAGGGCAGCAAGTGGACAGGGCTCTGTAAACAGACCCCGGGAAGGGAGGGGAGGCTTGGGAAGAAGTACTGCAGCATGACATCCCCACGCGGCCCCCTTCTGTTTCAGCTGGTGCAAGTCCTCCTGCACAGTGCTCTAATGACCTGTGGCCCTTTGAGATCCACGGCTGCGAAAGACACCTCACAGTGTCTTCCCCAATGCCCATGCCTCCCCAGCACAAGTGGCATCCCCAGGACACCCTGGCCAGCTTCTGCAGCATCCCCAGAGCGGCTGCCCCCCTACGCACACACTGGGCTGTCATTGTCCCCCCCCCTCCCCCCTTGCTGGTCGCCGAGCCGCCGCCCCCCCCCCCCCCCCCCCCCTCCCCCCCGTTGCTGCTCCCGGCCCAGCCGCCCCCCCCACAGGCACACACTGGGCTGTCATCGTCCCCCCCCCCATCCCCCTTCGCTGCGTGTGACTGCTAACAGGTGGTGGCAGGAAGGAAGTGGCAGCAGCTTGGGCCGAAGTCCCTGTTTATCCCTGGCTGTGTACAGCCTGCTCCGGTCCTCCAGAACCAGGCACCATGGCAACCAGGGTGATGTCAGACCCGCCATCTCCATGGAAACCAGCCACGGTATCTGGGTCAAGAAGACAAACACTTCGGAGACCCAAACAGGAGACAGCCTGGAACCCCTGCACTGAGGGTCCCCAACTCGGCTCCCTCTCTCGCCGCCGAGTCCATCCCAGATGCCACAAGCTAGCCCCGCGCTCCCCGGCCCGCAGCTCCTTGCCTTATTAGGAAGTTGCTTCCTCGGTCTAACCTCCACCCCTCCCCGCGCTGTTTCCAGAGCTCTTTCTCGCCGACCTCTCCGCCTACACCCCCTCCCCACTCGCAGTCGGGCAGGATCCAACAAAAACACACTTTCAGGCTTGGGCACTTCTGCCATTTCTAAAAGACAGCTAAAGGGGGAGCTCTCCCCCTCTGGCTAGCCGCACTCCGCCCCTCCAAGAGTGGTTCCCCCAAACCTCTAAAGCGGAGGAGCCGCAGGAGCCCGCCCGGGGCGCCCCCCGACCGCGGCCCTGCGGCGACGCGCACGCCCGGCTGCGCCCCCCGGTCCCACGGCGGGTCCGGAGGGCCCCCGTCCCGTAGGGCCTCACCTGCCTGCGCCTTCGGTCTCCACCCGACCTGTTGCTGCCGCCCCGGGTTTCCAGCCCCGGGAGGGAGGGAGGCTCACGTGACTGGGGCTGGCCAATGGGAGGTCAACTTCCCTGAGGGGGCGGAAACTTTCGGCCAATAAGAGCTGGAGTCGAGAGGCGGGGTCGGGGAGGAGGACCTGCACCGGCCCCGGACCCCGGCTGACCTCCCGGGGACGGACTGCGCTTGCCGCGAACTGCATTTCGGGTGACCACCCCTCCTTTCCCGGCGTCTAGACAGTTTCTAGAAGGAAGACCCAACTGAAAGGCAGAGGCACCTCCCGAGACAGAGGGCCAAGGTCGACCGTAGGACAGACAGACGCAGCTGCAGGATGGGGGAAGGGACACGGCGAGCCGAGGCTTGGCAATAGCTCTCCCGCTGTTCTCCCCCAGCTCCGGTGCAGAGGCAGGGTGCCGATGCTACTCTTCTAGAAGGGGAGGGGTGGGGGTCTGGGAAGCGTCCCCAAATGAAATCTGCTGGACCAGGGGCAGCCCCTTCCCACTACACTTGACCGGGGGTGCAGGGAGGGGGTGCTAAACCCAGAAACACCAACGGCACTTGTCCCCGAGGCCCTGGCTGCAGCCCTGGCCCAGGAATGTGCCCAGAAAGGAGACGTGTTTTCACTCCGGGACTCGGGCAGGGGTGGCGCACTAGGGCCTCCCTTGGCTCCTCGACTAGTACCAGGATCAGTTCAGGGGCCCGCCGCCAGGAACCCTGGGGCACATAACGTATCCTCACCCCTCAAGCATCCTTCCCACCGGTGAGAGGCTCATTCCAACCTTTGTGTGCAGAAACAGCAGGAGTCCTTGTCTGGGTTTTCAAGTCCTTTTATTAATCCAACCGTACAAAAGACCCCCACCACATCTCTGCCACCCCCATTTTCTTCCAAAAAGTAGTGGAGAGGAACAGAAGGACTGAGCAGACTCCTCCCCCAGGAGCCACTTACAAAAGGCAGAGATGGGGGGCAGGGGAGGAAGACATCACAAAAATAGCAACAGATAAAAGAGGGGCAACAAAACAACAAACACAACACAAAGCTGGGGGGAGGGGGCTGGTCCCTGGAAGAGAGAAGCCCCCAACCCCCTCCCTTCTTTCCCACAGCCTCAAAGCCGCTGCCCCACCTGGGCAGCCAAATGCGCTCTGCAGTACATTTGCTAAGTCTTCACAGGCTAGGGTCCCCAGAGAAGCGGCCAGGGGACCACTAGCTCCTCTCTGGGCCACGCCTGTGCCTGCCTTCCCCACCCCACTGAGGAATGTGTGCTTGAGCTGCAGTGCAGGGCTCCCACCAGGCCCTGGGCCCATCTCTGGCAGGCAGTGCCTGAAAAATAAAATAGGAACACATAAAGCCCAGTGCAGGCTTCTGGCTGAGAGGAAAAACTGCTAATCACCCGGCCCAAGATACCCAGAAGGGCAGGGAGAGAGAAACCAAACACGCCCAGACCCTGGACTGCATCTCAGGGCCACAGCAGCGGCCGTCCCGCCGCCTCCCTCCCCCACGGGCTGGGACAGGGGTCCTTCGATCAGATGAGGTATAAGGGTTCTGTGCCTTTCCAGGCTTTCCTTCAGCCGAGCCAGGGAGGCAGAGGAACACAGGGCCAAAAGCTCTAGACCAGCGCGGACAAGACCGTGCGATAAATGGGCGAGCCGGGGAGGGCCATGCGAGCAGAGTCCACGTTCCAGGACGGTCTGAACTTCAAATATCCCGGTCTGTCAGACCGCATATCCCAATTTTTGGCAAAATATGGTCATTAGGAGAAAACCCCATAAGAGGCTGAGAAAGGGCCAGTGGCTTTGGTATGAGGGACACATGTCCGGACATCATCTCTTACCCACAGACAGTCTTAAAGCCCCAAATCACCAAGAAACTGCCCCAGCCAAGAGCTCTCCTGCTTTTTCAAGCTATTTGGTTCTCTGAAAGGATGGGACTCGGGTTAAGTCTTAGGAGGAGGCAAGGGGAGGGTGAGAAAAAGGAAAATTCCCCATTTATTCCCTAAAGCTGTCTCCTAAAGCCCATGAAAAGGCTACTGCAGGGATGGGACCCCAAACCGTTTACCACGTCACTCCAAACACTAAGGCTGCAGCTGTGGGGCTCGCTAGGAGTGTTAGGCACAGGTGCTGGGGCGTCCATCATCTGCCCGGAGGAGACCCCTGCCCTCCAGATCTTCCTCCAGCCTCTCTTCTCTTGCAGCCACACCCCTCAGCCTTCGGGCACTGGAGCCACCACAGTGCTCGGCAGGGCTTTGGTTCCCTGGATCTCTGTTGATCTCAACGTGTACGTGTAAGTTTCCAGAAAAGTGAGCAATCCAGGCTCTTCTGCCTGCCCACCTCAGTTCCTTCTCTGCCCCCAGGAGCCACTGTGTTTCTGCCCCATGGAGACGGGAAGCCAGTGGAAACCATCCCCCTGGTCGGCATCACCCATCGTTAGCAGCCACCAGCTGCCCCACACCCTCACGGATGTACACAGACTGGATCTCCTTGGTCTTGAGGCAGAGATCGCAAGCCCAGACGGCGGAGGCCTCGGTGGTCAGCAGCCCGTACGCGCTCTCTGTCATGCCTGTACACTCACGGTGGAACCACTTCTGGCAGGAGGCCTCACACAGGATGGCGTCCTGGTCATCATTCACCTCACTGCGACAGGCGCCACACGGGTACACCAGGCCTGGGGGAGGCTGGGGCCCTGAGCCCCCACCCGCCTTGCTGGGGGGTGCCAGGCTGTTGGCATCTGGAGTTCCCCCACCCCGCCCACTGCTGTTTGGGGGGAAACTGGGCTGATTTCCATTAACAGCAGCGGCTGGGGAGCCTGAGTGAGGCTCCTGGGGAAAAGCAGTGGGAGCAGGTGGATTCAGGGGCTTTCCCCCATCCTCACCACCAGGGCCAGGAAAGCCAGGGTCCGGGCCAGGGAAGGGACTTGTGTTGGGGGGCAGGCTGGGGAGCCCCTGACCAGGTCTCTGGAGAGGAGAAGGGCCAAAAGGTGCTCCTGGCTGGGCAAAGCGTTGGGGGAGGGAAGGGGGGCCCAGCTCCCCTCTGGGAGGTTGTCCCATGGTGGGTGAGATCATGGGGCCAAATCCCCCCACCGGGCCTGGCATCATCTGCCCACCAGGAGGGCTGAAGTTCTGACCCAGAGGCTGGTTGAAGGGTTGGCTAGGAAAGTTCATGTTGCCTGGGGGTGGGTAGCCGGGGCCCTGGGGGGGCATGTTGAAAGCAGGGCCCATAGGGTTGGGAGGGAAAGGGGGGGGCTGTCGACGAAGAGGCTGGGGGCCCCCTCCACCCCCAGTGCTGTAGCCTGGGGGTACCTGGCCTGCCATGCCCCCCTGTACACGGAAGCCTCCAAAGGGGACAGGACTGCCAAGGAATGGAGGGGCCGCGCCCCCCACCTTAGGGGCTCCGAAGTCATCCTCAAAAGGGTTGGATGCAACCAGGTGATCCACCATGGGAGTCGGGGGTGGCGCAAACTCCGTCAGATGTGAGTATGCAGGGCCCTAGTGGGGAACAGATGAGGGAAAGAGGTTCATGCGCGGGGGGAACACACAGCTAAAAACCAGGAGAGCAGCAGAAACACAGAACGTGTTCTGGACGCTCCTAACGGCCAACTCGGATGTAAATCGAGAGAGACCTCAGACTACAATAGAGAAACAGAGGGCGGAGAAAGCAGGCAGAACTGTGCCGGGATCCCAGCTCTGACGCCGAATAACCTCAAGACCCTTGAGCAGGCGTTCCACTTTTTAAAGCCTCAGATTCGTCTGTAAAATAGGGACAATGCCTACCTCCCAAAACTGTTAAAGCGCCGTTATCACAAAGTGCCGCAGAAATCATTACCAAAAACCTCAGTAAGTGGTAGGTGTCACCTACCAGGAGCGAACCAGGACAGGAAACGTGGGGGGAGAGGAAGACCCCCGGCCTGACTGACAAGATCAGTGGTCCCACGGCCTGACCGCCCCCACCCCCCGTTTGTTAGGAAGTGGAGCGGAAGGGCCAGAAGCGGAGCAGCTTTCTCTTCGCCCCGCACCTGGGCGAGGTACACACCCACGGCAGCGGGGGCTACGAACGACCCCACCGCCATCAAGCCGCACTCACCTGAGTGTTGGACTTCCTTCGCTTCTTCTCTGGGCTCTTCATCTGCAGACCTGGAAGCGCAGCAGAAGGCGGACACAAACAGGTTTCCCTGAGGCTGCCCCACCGCCAGGCCCCCGGACGCGCCTGGAGCAGCTCTTCTAACTCGGACAGGCGCTCGCCCACTGACTCCACCAAGACGAACAAAGGTGCCACACGAGACACGCTGCACGACCACACTCTCAGCCGCCTCTTCCTTTTAACAACAGACCGCCCCTCCGACTCCCCGGGGGCTCCGGCCGTCCGTGTGTCTCCCAACCCCGGGATCCTCCATCTCGGACACCCGACCCCCACCCCTCCCGCCCGAGCCTCCCGTCGGGCCCCCGGAGCACCCGCCCCCGGCCCCCCGAGGGCCCCGCGGGCCCAGCCCCTCGGCGCTCTCACCGGCCTTGCCCTGCTTCCTCCCGGGGCCGGGCGGCGCAGGGGGCGGTGCGGGGCCGCCACCTCCCTCCAGCTTGTCCGGTGGGGGCGGCGCCGAGGCGGCCATGGGGCGGGGGGGCCGGGGTCAGCGGTGGCGGGGGACGGACGCGCCCTCGGGCGGCACCATCGCCGGGAGGGGGGTCGGGGCGCCCGCGAGGAGCGGCCAGGCCAGGCGGTGAGGCCGGGGGGCGAGCGGAGCGCCAGCCGCCAGCCCGCGGCCACACCAGCAGCAGCAGCGGCAGCGGCGGCGGCGGCGGCGGCCGGAAGCGGAAGTCGGCGCGGACGCCACCAGCGCGCGGCGAGGGGGCGGGGCCCGGGCCGGACCACCCGGCGGCCGAGGGGGTGCGCGGCGCGGGCGGGGACACGTCCGTGCGGGAGGGGCCGCCCCCCGCCCCCGACGGGGTGGAAGCGGCGACCGAGCACGGGCAGCAACAGGGACCACGAAGCCGAGGTACAAGAAAGAGGGACTTTAATGAAGAGGATTTCCCTTTGGTATAGTGAGACCCGCGGAGACACCGTGTCAAACGAAGCGAAAAGGCCAGGACCGAGACCTAAACTCGCAGCGGCAGGACGGGCTCCGGGGCTCCGGGCCGGCGGGGTGGCGCAGGCGGCCTCTACCAGGGCCTGTCACTGCAGGTGTGAAGCTGCTCACACCCCTGCGGCCCCCCGCTTCGCTCCGTCCAGTCCTGGCTCAGGATCTGCTTCTCAGACCCCGGTCTCTGGTAGAAAAGAGAATGCTGTCGGGCCCAACTGCCTCGAAGGCTGGGAGGAGGACAATGCCAATCATTGTAAAAGGGCTTTGAAAAGTCAGAGGTGACGTGTACACGTAGATTATTGTCATTTTGTGCTGAAGATAAGCCATGGAAAACAAGGAAAATAAATCTACAGCCCTAAAATATATGCATATAAAATAAATGCCTTCCCAAATCTACAGATGGCATTTGGGGATTGTCTACTGCTTTCGTCTCAATGCCCCCGTTCCTGCCTCCACAAATCCGCCTGGGAGAGTTACCAGTTGAGGAGGCCCGAATCCAGTCACCGCCCCCACCCCCACCACCCGCCCACCCCAGTAGGAGGCAGGGGTAGAGGCTGCAGGACCAAGGACTATGCTTTGGCTGTAGAGTATAATATGCATGCAACATGGGGGGGGGGGAACGACTTACGAAATGTATATACAGACCCCTTGAGTGAGGGGCCCCCCCCTGGCCAGGAGGCACTGAGCAAGGGAGGGGTCCATCCCCCCGCTGGCCAGGAAGGGGGGCTCTGAGGCAATCTCTAAGGGTTGCCTATCCCCAGGGAGAGGGGACAGCTGCCATTCCTGCCTCTGTTCTCCCAACCCAAACTGGAGGGGGTGCTGAGCAAGGAGAGGACAGGGTCCCAGAAGCCAAGAAGGTGTCAGCACCCCCACACCCTCGACCTCAGGGGCTCAAGAACTCTTTGCATAAAATATCTTCAGACCTAGGACATGGTCAAAGGCACAAAGTTTAACCACTTGGAGGGAGGGCTGTTGAGAGGGGTCTGGGGTACCCTGAGCCCAGGGGTAGACCAAAGGCGTGATTCATTCCCCCTTCCCTGGAAAGGTGATTGCCCCATTAGGCCTTTCTCACTTCAAGGAGGCATGCTGCCTAGGCCTCAAGCACCCGCCTTCTTGGGGAAGGGGGTATCAGATTGGCACAGGAAAGGCCCAGGGAAGGGAGCCACTCTGTACAGTAATACTTTGGTAAAGTTCGGGGAGAAACAGGATTCTACCCCCGGCTACTGACAAACCCTTGCATTCAGCCGGATGCTGAACCATGTCCACACTATTCGGGGCCCCACCACAAGGCCAAGCCCACAGAACACTCCCAAATGAGGTCCTGAGAATCAAGGAGTAGGGTGGAAGGGGCGACAGGGCCCCTTCGGGGAGAAAGCACTGAGCTGGATCACAGCTTCCGCTCCACGGGCTGCTGCAGACATAGTTCACTGCCCGCAGAGATGATGGGCAAGTGATTGTCCACGTGGTAGCTGATGAGGTGGCTGACGCTCTCAAAGCGGTGATCCTTTGTCCGAACCTGAGGAGCGAATTCAGGTGAGGAGTCAACTAAGACCTCTGCCCCCGAGACTGCAGAAACTGGAGTGTTCAAGGGGGTTGAGGAAGGAGAAAGAGACCGGGACGGGAGTGCTGTCAGTCCAGATCACTGAAGCTTCTCTAGAAGGAATCCACAGCCAGTTCTGGAAGGGGGCAGAGAGGACATCAGCCCCAGAAACTGAGAAGCTGGGCGATATCTACTCCCCTGACCTAGAAGGTGGCATGTGTCAGAGGGGGACACACGCTACAAAGAAGATGGGGAAAGGAGGCTGGGGTTGCTGTAGCAAAGAGCCCAAAGTCAGGAGGGGCAGGGGGGCGGGGCGGACAGGCGACAGGGCGCCGAGCTGAGCCCTGAGTCTGGAGGTGCTGGGGAGGTCCCTGGCTCCTCTTGGAAAAGGAGACTTGGGGTTTCCAGGCTCTAGCCATCCGACGCTGGCCATCACCACCTCTCCAGGATGGTGTCCTTGTCTGTCAGAAGAGGGGCTCGGGCCAGCTAAACACCTTCTAGCTCAGACGCACGTCAGGGCTGGGGAATTGAGGACTGAAAGGAACAGAGCTCGGGCTCGGGTATGAGAAGGGAAGGATGCCATCCCGCTGGGAAGGGTGCCCATATTCACATGCCAAGCAGGGAAAGTGGGAGGCAGCGAGGGGAGATGCATGGCTACGCAGGAGCCCTTTCTGCCCCCCCCCCCCCCAACACACACCGCTGCTCCACTCACCACGCCCTCTGGGTCCACCAGCAGCAGGTGCTTGGGCTGCCCACTATGCAAGCCAGTGAGCACATACTGTCCTGGCGTGGTCGTGCTCTCCCGCACCAGGAAGTCCCCGTTGAGCTGCAACAGAGCCTCAGCCTCCCGCCGGCTCAGCTTCCCGTGGAACCAGGGCTCCCCTCGGAGCTGTTCAGCCATGGCCACGGCCTGGGCAGGCGGAGGCACCCGAAGGGCATCTTCGAAGGGCTCTGGGGGTTCAGAGAGGGGGCAAGAGAGGCAGCTGGCACAACACAGGCCAGGACCCAGACCTTCAGGGAGCAAAAGCCTGGAAGGAGAGCAGGGCAGAAGAGGACCCGAGTGGGAAGACATAGATGCAGAAAAGGAGAGAGGAGCACTCACTCATGTCAAAGAGGTCTCGGGGCGTGCTGCCATTGATGGCAGGATTGGGGGGCCCAGCCCCACCCCCTGCTTGCCGGGCCTTGTCTAGGTTCTGGACGTTGACATAGGAAGGATCATCAAAGAGCTCTTTTCCTGCTGAGGAAAGGGAGGCGTCACAGTGACGCCAGCCCTGCCTCCTGCACCCCTGCCCCTACACCTCCCCGCTCCCTTCACACCTGCACAGGGTGGTGGAGGTGGCATCTGTTTGCGAATTTCTGGGTCTCCCCCAACAGGCTGCCCCACCGGCTGTAGGGACAAAAATAAGATGAGACCAGAAGCCCAAACCGGCCACTCCCATCCCAGGTCCCAGGCCCAGCCCACCTCCATCCAAGTAACTTACCAGCGTTGCTCCCAGGTGGCTGGGGGTCTGGCCAATGGGTGGAGTGGGTCGAGTAGCCCCAAGAGGGGGGGCTCCTTCCCGAAGCCTCATGTCCACCACTCCCCCAAGGGGGGGTTCCTTCCCGGGGAAGTCATTATAGTACTGGTGGTCAGGTGGCTCTTCCTCCTCCTCATCCCAAGCTGAGCCATCAAAACCAGTCATCCTGAGAGGAACAGGAGGGAGGGAGGGCACAGACAGTGGCCATGGGCCGGGCACTTCCTGCAGGGCGGGCCTGAGGCTGGCTGTTTTCTAGACACAGCGTGCCCTCCTCCCGGGAGCCCTGCAAGGTAGCTATTACCTCCCTCCACAGCGACAGAAGAGAGATGAGGCTCAGAGGTGGAGAAACTTGCCTGTGGTTTCACAATTAAAGGGTTGCGGAGCTGAGTTGTAATATCAGATTTGATTTTAGAGTTCATGCCCTCGATTATCATGCTCTCTCCCAATAGGGAGGAGAAGCACAAGGAGGCAAGGGATGTGCTCCAAAATAGTTCAATCTCCTCTAAATACTCAATAGCTACCGGCCTTAAGGTGGGAAAGAAAGGTAGAGCTCTCAGGAAACAGACATCCTCCCTCCCTAAGGATGGAGAAACGGGCAGTGCGGTGGCCCGGCACGCGAGAGGAAGAGCAGGCCTGCAGCAGACAGGGCCCGGCCAGACTTTCCTGACAGCCACAGGAAACGCAAGAATAGCAGGAAGTGGGAAACACGCACACAGGTTATTTTCACCCCCGACCCTCTCTGGGCTCGAGTGTGAGCAGTGGAGCAGACCTGCTTTCTCCACTCGGACCTGGGGCCCAGAAGCTGCCCCTCACCCTCCGCACCCGCTCACCTGTCATGAGGGGTGACCAGCTTGGGCGGGTTCCTGAGGTATTGTTTGAAGCGCAACTCGAAGGCCTGGCCGATGGTGCTGATGACATCCTGAGCGAGCCCTTCGGGACACTCCAGGATGTGGCAGGCTGGGGGCACAGCAGAGGCGGCCTGCTGGGAGGAGGCGCAGCCAGGGGCCCTCGTCTTCCCGGCAGGAGCCCCTGCTTAGCTCCCCAGGTCCTGCTCACCTGCCTCTCGGATAGCTGGCCCCACCCAGCGCTCCCCACCACGCCTCACCTCTCTGATTCACCGGGTCTTTGGCAACATAGGCGACGTACTCAGCTGTGTCCTGGGGTGGGCAGGGTCAGAAGCAGCCCCTTAGCTCAGTTTTATATAGCCCACCTCACCCCTGACCCCTACACAACCCAGGCCTTTCCAGACACCACTTTGATCCCAGCACACCCTCTTTTCCAGCTGGTGTGGCCCCTACTCTTCCCACCACCGCCCCCCCCGCCCTGTTGCCCAACTCACCGGGTCCCCACCGGACGCAAAGGAGATAGACTGCATGTGGTGGTTGGCGATGATCTGAGGGTTAGTGCAGGGCACAGAGAAAGGAGGGAACGGCATGGGTCAGGCAGCCCTGGGCACCTGGGCACCCCCAGCCCCGCCCCAGAGCCCTGGAGTGTCAGTCCCACCCTTTTGGCTTCTTAGCCCAGGTCCTCCTAAGCTCCTCCTTCCTTCCTGTCTTAGCTCCTGGCCCTGTGACCAGGTCCCGGCCCAGCCCTCCCGACAGTGTTTCTAGCCCCCCACCCAACCCCACCAACCTGTTTGCAGTCTGCGGCCATAAGATTGAGG